AGTTCCCTGGGGCTAGTAACAGCTCAGAGGGTGTGAAGGGAAAGAATTGCTACCAGAACCCAATAGTAGAGAGTCATGTAGTGCGCCACCTTGACTTTCAGGTGAGGAAAAAAAGTCAGCCTGAAATGATCCCACAGGGAGGGAGCTGAGAAATATAAATGCATAGAGCTCATTCTCTATGATCTTCCCTCTGATCTCCTGCTAAGGGTCTTTATTGGCTAACCCAACCAGAAATCATAAGGCAAGAAAGCCCATTAATGTAACCCATACAGATAAGCCTCCCTGGGCAAAGAAAACAGTGGAGAAGGGCAGAGAGTGGATGTAGAGAGGCAAATAGAATATATTAAGTACAAATGGTCTGATCAATGATATATTACTACAAACGGTGACGTTATTTGAGATGGGACTGTCAGAGAAATTCTGAGATGAATGTTTGCCAGACATATGAATTGTGATTTGAATTAAGAGTGAGAAGTTCATGTAATACTTGGGGCTCTGTACATTTCATTTCTGTGTCCACCCTAGCCCCCTTTTAGATTTATGCCAGGCAGAACATAGGTGCACATTGAATGGCTATTGAGTGAATTATTGAATGAATGAAAGAATGACTTAAGATATATGTCTAATCACATAATAGAATATATGGATGTCAAATTATAATGTACACCTGAAAATTATATAATTGTATTAATCAATGTTACCCCAATAAACTTAATTAAAAAAGAAAGATATATGTCTAGAGGCAATGTGAAGAGCTAAGATCATAAGATGATAGGATAGATAATAAGATAATTTAAGCTGCCAATAATATTCATAATGCATATCTAAAATAACAGCAATTTAAACAAGATAGAGGTTTATTTCTCTTCCATATAAAAATCTAGATGTAGGCAATCTAGAGTTGATATTTTAGCTCTGCTCCTTGAAAGCCTTAGGGAGTCAGATTCTTTCAGCTTTCTGCTCTGCCATCTCTGGAATGTGGCCCTGCACCTCATGATTCAGTGTGGAATTCTACCACCACGTCTGTGTTCTGGATAGCAGGATGAAGGCAGTAGGGGGAGAAAGGAGATGCAGTTATGTGACACTTTCACCTTTATCTCATTTGATAGAACTCATATCCACATTTAACTAAAGGGAGAATGGGAAATGAAGTCTTCATTCTGGGTAACCATGTTTCCAGCTAAAAATTGATAGTCCTCCAGATATGGAGGAGACTTGATATTGAAGGACAACCTTAAATCTCTACTATAGGAAACCTGAATTCTGCTTCCAACTCTAATACCAAACTTCTCACATGAACTTGAATGTTACTTCTTCTATCTGGAGACAAGTTTTTATCTCTAAAATGAAAAAGTTGGTCTTAAATAAGGGTATTCACTTTTTGAGGATTTCACTCAGTTAGAAAAAAAAATAATTGGAGACCCCTGTTCTATTTCAGACCCCGCGAGAGGCATTATGGGGGATATATAATGAGGTATACAAGTTTTGGTGTACTTCCAGAAATGTATTCTATACCAGAAGTAACACATGTTTGAATAGATAAAATATTTTTAAAAGGATATAATTAAGGATCTCATGAGTTGTTTAATGAGTTCATGGTTAGATTAAGTATCATGGAGAAGATGGGCTTTAAGCTGAGTCTTGAAATATAGATAATATTACTGAATACAGTGGAGGACAAGTTGCCCACAAAGCAGGAAGCAGCCTGAGGTACTGTACTGCATGGTGGTAATTAGTTAAAAGTCTGGTTTGATTGGAAAAGGGAATCTTCCTAATGGAAGATTAGGGTAAACAGGAAGGTTGGGGGCACACTCTAGAAAGCCTCGATTGTCATATTAAGGAATTGGGGCTTTATCTTTTATTTAGATTCAACATACAGATCCTGGGTCAGTTACTTTATATGTACTTTTTTTCTTATTTCTCATAATAATTTTATCGTGTAGGCAGTATTATCCCAGTTTGGGAATAAATAATCTAAGACTAAAAATATAAGTTACCTGGCCAGAGCTACATAACTAATTCATGTCAGGGCCAAGATTTAAACTCATGGCTTCTAACACCACATCCTGGTGCTTTGATGGACCCTCTGCTGCTTTTCTCTATTGGACCTACTGAGACCCACAGTAGCTATTTGAGAAAAGGATTACCTTATTCAAAGCAGCATTTTAAGAACGTAAAGTTAATGGAAATGCAGGATATACCTGTGCTGGCTAAACTAGATTAGGGAAACTCGGTGAATTTGCTCAATCCCCCTGTTCTGGGCCTCGAAATTGATACCAGAGACTTTAAGCCTTTCTGGCATACTTTTGCAGATAGGACAATTCTTGGTTACCAGGGTATTTGATATGGCTTGTGTCTGAAGGCACAACTATAATTAGTTAATCTTATTCCAATTTGGAGGGAGGATAATTACAAGTGGGAAGGCTAAACATGCCAACATCCAGATCTTAGGGAGAGCCAGCAGTAAGCAAGATTTTGAATTTCTAGTGCTGAAACTATTAATCACATGGCATAGCTGCTACTGCTACTAATTATATACTAATGGCATTTAATTTTGTTACCAGTGGCCCCTTCTAACCGCACCAAACAAAATCCCTTTGTATATTGATCAAAGCCACAATCTGACATTTAAGATAAATACATTGTTTTTTTCTTGTTGTTTTAACAACTTTGTTGAGGTATGATTTATATACAATAAAACTCACCTATTGTAAGGGTATAATTCTATGATTTTTAGTAAGTTTATAGTTTTACAACTATCATCATTTTCCAGTTTTAGAACATTTCCATCATCCCAAAAAGTCCCCTTGATAATTCCCACTTCTATTTCCTGAGCAACTGCTGATCTGCTCTCTGATGCTGTAAATTTGCCATTTCTGAACATTTCATATAAATGGAATTATATACTTTGTAGTTTATTTTGCATTTAACATTTTCACTTAGGATTTTTTTGAGGTTCATCCATGTTGGAATATGTATCAGTAGTTCATTCATTTTTGGAGCTGAATAGTATTCTAATTAAAAAGATATACCATTTTGTTTATCTGTCCTCCAGTTGATGGAAATTGGGATTGTTTCCACTTTGGGGCTATTACGAATAATGCTGTTATGAGCATTCACATACATATCTTTCAGTGTGCATGTGATCACATTTCTCTTGGGCAGATTTCTAAAAGTAGAATCATTGGGGCATGTTGTAAGTTCACGTTCAACTTAAAAAACAAACTGTCAAACTATGTTCCAATTTAGTAGTGCCGTTTTACATGGCTACCAGCAAGGAAGGAGAGGCTAA